TTGCAGGCGTATCACAGCGGATGTCGTTTGTTCTGCACTGCTGGGCATGCAGACTCTATCAAAGCGTATCTTTAACTTCATCAAAAAACATGTAGAAGTGATTTTTTTTCTTCTTTCACCTTGACCTGTATCCACATCATGAAGCGTTAAAGACATATTCATGTGTAATCTGATGATATACAGTAATAACCTTGTGGCTTCTGAGTCAGCTTTTCATTTATTGTGTAGGGATTCATTCCTCATGGTTATTACCTTTCTAAGGTGCATAAACCTGCTGTAAATGTAGTGAGTTTGAAGCCAGAGGAAGTGACTCAGGGGAAGATGACAGGTAATTGGCAATTATACTGTCTGGATTTCAGCCTCAAACCCAGCAAATATGCAATAATGCAGAACATCAGCATGGCTTGAATCTGTGATGTGCTAAAGGCAGAAACAGAGTGCGAATGTTTGTTTGCACACATTTTTAGGACAAAAACCAGAGAAAAACAGGGCTAAACTATAAGACCAACAAAATGACCCTGTGTTTGTAAAATGCTTGGAAGTGTTCAGTTGGAAATGGGGTGCATGCGACAGGCAAGTTCTTGCAGAGTGGAATATGTGCCACACACACACACACACACACACACACACACACACACACACACACACTTCTAAAATAGAAAATGCAGAAGTAGATTGTAGAAGATCAGGTCAAAGACCAGACATACATGACTCTATGTGAGACTGCATGAGAGATAAATTTAGGATTATCCATGTAAGGTATACGCTATGAAATACCAACATATGTTTCTCCGCTCTCTGTGCTAAAGATTGATGATGGTTGCATTAGCTTCATCTGTGCTCTTGGCACCAAATACAAAGTATAAGTTGAACCAGCAAATTAGTGAGCCAGTCACATGCATCCCATGGAAACGTCCTATGGATACATAATTGGAAACGGGGAATTTTCCATACATTAGTTGTCTGTTTGCAGATATGGCTATGTAAGGTCAGCAGTAGGGATTTTCTGAAGTAATTACCATATGTGCCACATCTAATATACGACACCCAAGCTGTGTAAGTCTCTTAGGAACATAAACAACAGCTAATCTTCCCTGATTGGGTGGTTTGTTTAGACCAGCTATTATGCTGTTTTAATGACTTCAAATTGCTGCAAATAAAAGACAACCTTAAATTTTTTTGTCAGATGTGGTGTTTTTCATAACTGGACACGATTCTATATATATATATGTGTGTGTGTGTGTGTGTGTGTGTGTGTGTATATATATATATATATATATATATGCATATCAGACATAAAGCTTTTACAGGTACATGCATATAATATAGCTGATACATATTATTGCATATAAATACATTTATAATAGAAATAGTATTATTACACATTACCTATACAACACATATGGGACACATTATTATTATACATAGTATAAATATATGTAATAATGTAATGAATATATGAGATACATACTCAGTTACATATTCAGTTTTTGTCATAATTTAAAAATACCTGTTGTCCTTTACATTGTTTGTAAAGTTCATGATGAATGGTCCAAAAGAAATGACTCAAAATGACTTGGAAAAATGTCTGGTTCCATTGCCTTACATTAAAAGTAAAGTATGTTTTTCCTTCTGCTGTAAAGATACCATTTTGGAGATAAGATTATGTGATTATGTGTACTGACACACAGCCTAACTTTATTAGAAACACCTACCCTTACAGTTGCCTTACAGTTAGGGACTGTAGACCATCTGTTGATGCCCAATTCTTTTTAGTCATTCTCTAACCCTTTATCAGTGGCCAGTTTCTGACCACAGAGCTCCTCTTGGCTGGGTATTTTTGGGTGGTGGACTACTTTCAGCCTTGCAGTGACACTGATGTGCATAGAAACCCCAGCAACACCATGGCACTGCCATGTCAGTGTCACTGCTGTTAGGTAACAGCAGTCCTGTGGTCAGAAACTGACCAATAATGAAAAGGAGAGAGGGAGATGACAAATTCTATAATGACCTATAAGGAAGGGAGCTCATAAAGTGGCCAGTGAAAAACAAATCTGTGTGTGCTCATGTGTGTGACAGCGAATTCTGATGGATGGTAAGTAAATGGACAGACAGAAAAACAGCTTATCGATGGCTTGATTGGTCTATTGATTGCCTGCGTGATTGATTGTTTGCTCAATATGTTGAGTCAGAGCAGGTTTGCTTATAATTTCGTTGCCAGCCCTGATTGCTCGCCAGGGAAAACAGGAGCCTATTACAGTGCGGCCTCCAGGACCCAGCGAAACGAAGGCTGATGTTTCCTCTTTACATTTTTAAGGTCAGATAAGCCGTTCTCCTCGTGCTCGGGGTGGGAAAACAAAAACACAAATGTCAGTCGGACTTTTGAGCTGTCAGTGATGCGCGTCTTATTACTGCTCCCCGAGCTGCTATATTTTGGTGCCTTTTTTTAAAGTGCCTTATTCTCTTTTCTCAGAGAGCCACTTCACGGAGCGACAGGCTGCCTTTTGACAAAGGGTCTTCTGCTCTGGTTGATGATTCCGGCTCTGCTGCCTCTCGGCGTGTGACAGCTTCACAAATGAATAGAAGTGTGCAGAGCAGGTCGGCTTCCCTCGCTCCCCTCCACCACACAAAACTCTACTGAAGAGATCCTGTCTGCTACAACTGCCTGATCTAGCATGGCACGTGTATCTGCGTGTGCTGGGGGCGGTACAGTTTGGGGGAATTGTAAAATTGTGTACCTAGAGCTCTAGGTGGAGGGGGCCTTTAAAAACTTTGCTTTGGTGTACAGTTTTACGTGCAGTATACAGTTCATTAGGGAGTACAGTAAGTATACACTGAAAAAATGATGCATTGAATTTACTTGAGTGAAATGTGTACATCATTTCCACAGGCATAAAATACATCAGCATGGGTTTACTTATCTTTGGCAATATTTGTGTTAAGGTAACATATAAATTGTGGAAATTATGTACATATTTGAATCAAATAATTCAATGCATCACTTTTAGTGCAGCTCTTTTTACTTTATTTTGAGCATTTTGAAGAGATGGGAAAGGAGGCCCACAGAGACCCAGACATTTTCTCTATAAACCTGTTCACTCCATGTAGAAAAGAAAAAAACTGTATTTTTTAAATTCTTTGATTCTGGCAGGAGTATGTCAAAATTTCAACTTAGCATCTCAAAAGATTTACTTATTTTCTGAAAATGTTGACTTAGTATCTCATAACAATGGCTTAGTATGTCAAAATAATGACAAAAAGTATTTAATTATTACAAAATGTATTTACAAATAAGTTACAAGTTATTACTAAAAGGTAAGTAATTATTTTAGCATAAGTCATTATTTTGAAACGTCAAAACTTTGAGAAAATAAGTCATAATTTTCAGATACTAAATCAGATTTTCAAGAAATTAAGTTGTTAATTGGCATAGCAAGTCATAATTTTGAGATACTAAGTAAATACTTTTTCTCCTCTACCTGTGGGAATGGGCCTCCTCATCAATCCAACATACTTAAGGCGGAGAAATGACAGCATGTGCTTGATGGGTTACTCAAACTCTTAGATTCCAACATTCGCTGCTGAGTGATAAAATGCTCATCTGTAATGATGCTGATGGAGAGCTTTCTCAGGCACCGCCTGGTTGGTTTATAACAAAGGCAGGCAGCGTTTAACAGGCCATACTGTACATTGCCGCTATGTTAATTTAACCTACATGTAAAGGTCGTGTGTTCAGAGGAAATGTTAAAAGATTCATCAGGTTCGGTTTTAATTTATGAACGCAGTAAAAGAGACTAGCAACATTCAAACATTCAGTTCAAGGTCCAGTCCTTCTGTATCTCCTTGTATACAGCAGTTAATGTAAATGTGTACTTCCAAATATACTTTCTAAGAATATTTCAGATGGACATGTCTGAATAGGACTTTTGTGCATGTATGGACAACTGCACTTAATGTCACATGTTTAAATCTGTAAAACATACAAGATCTCCTTCATAGGTCACCGGCATTTACATGTGGAATCCGAATAAGGTTCACATATGTCAGGCAAATGTCTGAGACCATTAAGTCATGTTTTGTTTTGATGACTGGGTATCAACAGGGACAGATTCCAAAATGCCTAGAGATAAAGCATAGTGCCAAGCAGACTCCTGCAGCTAAATCACACAAGGCGGGAGTCTGTTTTTTGCTGTATGCTCATTAAAGCCTTATCAGAACTCCCATTTTCTGACAACTGCCTCGTGTGAGGCAGACAGAAGGGCTATTTTAATACTAAAACATGGCTATTACTGATGCCATCTCCAAAAAACTCAGTTAACAAGTGCAAAGAGACCAGAGCTCCTGCCCTGGCAGAGCTGAAACATCTGAAATCTCCTGTTTGGTCATATTTGGACTGTTCAGGTCTCTTAAAATAACACTAACCAACACAAAAAGTAACTGACTGGATAGAAACTGTCTATTTTCAACTGGGCGTTGCACGAAACATACCCTATTTCGACAAACAAACGTGTTTGAAAGAAGCTTTTGCTCCTGATAAACAGCCAAAATTAAGCTAATGTACAGTGGAGGGTGAAAGCAGGGAGCATAAATCCCCGCAGGGCTCCAAAAACCTGAGGTTGAACCACAACTCGAGTCGTCCACTCCGCTGAGCTAGTTCTCGCTTTCGTCTCTAGAGAAAACCCGCGTTATTTCTTCCCCCACCCGTATTCCTGACGAAAACCCGCCTCCTGAGATAGGACTGGCTAACAGAATCCTGCTTCTTGCGTTAGGATTGGCTACTTTTCTATTCCATGAGCTGTGATTGGCTAGAATTTCTCTTTCAACATTTAACCAATCCAAACCTTGGTGGCGGAATGCTACCAGCCAATCAGTGCGTTGGTCGCGAGACGCGCCTAGCCAATCGTTACGCAGTCGACCGAGGCTTTGCCTGAATACGGGTGGGCAAAAAATAACGGTTTCTCACACTGGGCAACGTCTCCAGCAAGAAGCGAGAGGCGGGTTTGTGTGTGTGTTGTCAGCGGCGCGAGAGCTTTCAGCGGCGGTAACCAAGGCTATATTAACGGTCACTAAATACGTTAACGGTCGTTAGGGATAAGGCAACAGCAACGACCGTGTAAAACTATTATTTTTAAATCTTTTCAAAGCTACAAACTACATTTTTCTCCCAGAGTGGACCGAGGAACTTTTGTATTTTGCCTGAGGAGTCCCTGTCAGTGTCACTCGAGCGCCGTTTAGCACATGATCCGCAAAGTGTCACACCTTCGTCTCTCCGGCGTGTGAGAGGGACTCGGGGGGAGCTTCTCCCGTTCACCAGATTTAAGAAACTACGTTTCGGACGTTTTTTTCTTCTTCTTGGTTTGTCGGGGAAGAAGTCCCCTAAGTACGTATGCAAAATGAACGTAGTGGTGCTAGAGCTCCAGTCGCGTCCTCAGTAGCTCCAGCTGTAGCTCCCCGTCTGTGGGAAAATAGTGTGGTAGTAGTTTCCAGCTCCTGTAGAAAAACTGTCTCTTTTTTTGTGTTAATGGAGAAATTAAAGAAAGACTGATCCCCCCCTCTCTTCTCCCCCACCCATGACGCAAACTCTCGGATTTTAAGGATTCCAGAGAATGGTAAATGATCGATGGAAAATCATGAACAGTGTTTCAGAGCTCGAAGATGGACAGCAGCACAAATCGCAGGTAGGCAACAAGAAATGAGGCAAAATTTGAACACGAGTTAACGCTAATGGTGCTCACTGTGCACGTCCAGTCCAGGCGAGGATAATGAGTTAGTATTAAATTCCCTGTGTCAGATAATTACGCCCAATATGATGTTATTAGTTCAGAGTTATTCTGAAACACGCCCACCCTTTGGCGAGGTTAATGACTAAGCATAGTTACCTCAATGATGGTAAAGTGTGACTTGTTTTCTAAACCTAACATGACAGATGCTCATCAGTTGTGCTTGTGCTTTGGGTTTAGATGTAATAAAAACAAACTGTTCATTTGACATGCCTGTTTACACAGCTGTGTGTGAAATGCAATAAATCTAGATCTATGGCAGCATCTAATCACCAGCCACAGAAAGAGGAGATGCTGTCAGCTCGCACTTGGGAATGAGCTGCATTTGTGTCATTTACAACAACAGTGGACCGTGGAAAGTTGGTTGCTAGCTAATGGTTTTATAATAGCCTGATAATGCCCTTTGATTAATGGTAGCCATTTGATAATGTCCTTTCTTCCATAAAGCTCATTTCTGTGATGGCCATGATGATGCCCTTTGCCTTATAAGCCCTGATAATACAAAAGGACCCTTAGATTATCAGGGCGATCACTGTCCCCAACTTTAGCCAACATATGGATCTGTTTTCCAGCCTTTCATCATTATTAGTCACTGTCAAGTAGGTCTGGGCAATATGATGGTATTTCACTGTTTTTGTGATAAAGTATGTCACAGTATATCATGGATAGTTAAAGAACACTGACCACTTATAGTCCACTTTAATTGGATATAGTGCAGTGTAGTATGTGACACTTTTAATAAAAGTAATATTACTCATAATTTTGATAGCATTACTGGTGCATTGTGTTGGTTACAACTTATCAGACCCCAGAAAATCTTAATATAGTTGGCTGTGTCTTCAAGTATCATGATATTTTGAGACATATCACCCGCCCGTACTATCAAGGTGAAAAAACTGATAACAGCTATAAAGGCGATACATTTTGTTGTCATAGGTAAGGGATACTATGCTCCCTGCCCACTGCCCACCAGAGAATACACTTGTTTCTGTTATGTGCCGCACACTTATGCACAGAGGAAGACATGAGGGATTATGCTGATCTCAATGTGTCTGATAATTTCACTCCTGAGCGGTGGAACTTCTTGCTGCTGTTTCCTGCATAGGGGGCAATACAGAAAAAAAAATCAAATCTGTGCACAGTCACTATGCTGGTCAGCTCAGCCGAAGGGGCATAATAGCTCTGTCTGCTTTTGCAGCAGTGCTTGTTTTCCTCCCGATGGCGTTCTAGTTAAAATCATTATGGTCTGGCTGTTGTCTACTTTTTCACAGCCACTGTAATCTGGCGTGAGGATTTAGAGGGATATACATACCTCTGGAGCTGGGGATCGGATAAAGGCTATAACATCTGTTCATTAGTACCACAAGCCTTATGCGATTTCTCTTTGCACTCATCTTATTTAGTCTGGCAGCACCGTGTGACTATGAATCCTTACAGTAAGATGTCATTTTTTAACAATCTTTCTACGCTGGGTGTCACGTCTGCATTGTGGCTCACTCCTTTGTTTTGTGTGTCAACGCATTTTTTAATTGCTGCCATTTATTCACCTGCCTCGCCTCTCCCAAGCGTTTTTTGTCACGTGGCACTCGGAGCTGCTCATTCTCGCCAGCTCAACCCACATCCTGCTCCTGTTGTACACAGCATAAGTTATTTCAGGGGTTGCTAATTAATCAGCGTGAATTCATCTGCCACTCTGGCTGCCTGGTGTTTATTAATAAAATATTCTCCCACAGGAGAGAAAGCGGCCCTCGTGGGGCGCATAAAACTCACCTGCCTGAGCGGAGTAGAACAGAGTGCTCAACGTTTGATGGACGCGTTTTGTAATCCCTTCTGTTGCTCTTAGTGCCATGATTTTCCAGTTGAGTGTGATGGGACGAAGCAGCTGGCTGCTGCCCAGTTAGTAGTGTACCTGTAAAAACCGGGTAAAAATAGGGCTTGGTGGGGTCCGGAGGGACGCAGGCTGGCAGGCAGCTACAGGAAGCGTTTTACCTGCTAAGGCCTCTTCTCAGCGGTGTGCAGCAGAGTTATAGTGTAAGCACAAAGCATCTGTGTTTCACACCCTGAGAGATCCATGCCTAAAACACTGTGTCATATTGGTGGCATTGTGCAAGCAATTTGTGTAACAAATGGTAATGAAGGCAAAGGAACAGTGAGGAATTCTTTGCACTAGGACTCATTGCCAGGGCAGTGGACCCCCAAGTAGTATTACTAAAGCTTACCAAATGGCAGAAAGCTAAGCTACAGCCATGTCTGTCATCCAGAAATTAGACCTGCATTATTAGTTTGATTCACATGCAAGTAAGCTTCCCATTAAGCACATATTAAAAAAAGATAATTGGTTTATTTTTCTGTTTTCCAACTGGAGGCATGTCGCTTGGAAAATCCTGCCGTTTGTGGTTTCTCAAAAGCAGGGAGATGCATTTGCCATAGTGCGAAAGACATGAGCTGTGGCAATTATAACTTCCAGACAGCTTTAAAAGGAGGAAACACTCCTGTTCCTGGATGATAGCAGCCTCAGAGTGCTAAAGAGGATTTTATCATTTCATTTCTTTTCTAAAATGGGCCTTTTTTACTTAAAGTGTGGCTGTTATTAGCATTTAGAGATTGAACTGCTGGTTTTGGATAGTTCTCAAGGCTGAACAGCTTTTTGCCCTGATGAAGTGGGTCTTTGAGTCCGTGGAAGAAATTCTGTCCTTGAGCTCAGTACATGTTTGAAGACATTTGAGATGTTGTAGACCACCACTGTCTTTTTTTCTGTCCATCAAAGCTCTCTCCCCCGCTGACACAGCCTTTTGAGGTCAACTTAATCTTGAGATTGGCAAACAAAAGGTGTTGACCAAGTGCATTTTTTTTTGTTTGTCTGACACAATAGACCCAGAAACAGTTTTATAACGTGCACTTCAAACATTTGCGTCCAAATTTGTTTCTAAGGAATGTTTGTCCAGCATGCCAATGCCAATTACAGACTTTATACCACGCAAACCCCCACTGTGCAGTAATGGCAATCTTGACTGCATGGCTGAACATCATGCAGAATGCGTGCTAATTCCAAGCGTTATGAAAAGTGCTACAGTGGAAGAGATGCTTCCTAACCACTATATAAGCCACTATATGAGAGCAGCTTTACTGAGGTTATTATCACATATTGAAATGGTTGAAATGGTCTTTGCATGCAGGTCCACTAATGGCATGGCTTGACACTAATGGCAATGGTATGAATGGCCTGTGACAAATTCCTCACCCAGCTATTTGCTGTTATTTATTTGTCGCAAGCTGAGAAATGTACTCGTGCTAAAAGCCTCAGTTCTTGTATTCTTGGAAGTGGCATCTTTGGTGCTTTTAATAACACCTAAGCTAAAAGAAGATGCTGTCTTATACTCGTTTCATACAATAGCGTTTTGCTGACGTGGTGACAAATCTAAGGGCTATTATGCACCACACTCAGCAGGATGTGCAGTGACAGGTTGTTTAAATCTGTAATTCAGATAAATACATCAGTGACAGAATGACTGAGGTTTGCAAATTAAATCAACACATATCTACCGACGTATTTCTCACCTCAGCTCCTGTCAGTGCCTGCAGCATTCTCTGGATGCTTCCTTCTTTGGCTAAGAGTGATGCCTCTCAGCCCACGAAAACATCTCCCTGATTTCAGAGCCTCACCTCAGCCCAGGCCAAGGCCTATATGTATAATTAAATCTTCTGGCCTTGGTTTCAGCACATTGATTGTGGACGGGTGTGAAATCTAACCGAGTCTCCTGCTGATGGATGTCTTTTGCTCCTCTGTGGCTGTCTGTGTTGAATATCCATCATAGCGTTGCGAGGGAGTAAGAGGAGATACAAAATCTGATGCATGTGCTCCCCCAACAGAGCAGATCAAAGGAGTATGATTGCAGGACATCAACAGCTCTCTCACATGCTGGTTATTTATCAAAATGCCATCAGTCTCTCTCTCTCTCTCCCTGTATTTGTCTCTCCAGTAATGTTTGTGAGTGGCACGCTGTTTCTTGGAGTGAGTGTGTTTTAGTTCATTAACCTCTGACACAAGTTTCAATGTGTCTCTCTTGCTGTGTTTCTGTCATGTTCCCTTTTCATAACCAGGGTTAGTGATAAATAAGTTTTAATTACACTTCACTGTCTCCTTCAAGAGAGTGTCACTAAAAAAGAAAACAAGCTAATTTGCTGGAGGTTGGCTTCTTGACATTTGTGAAAGATACTCCTCTAATTGCCCTCAGTATACTGCCTTGCTTTCACTTATTTCCTTTGGCAGTACTTCTTCCACACGTTTTTCACGAAATGAAGCATGTTCTTATTCCCATTCAACCTGAAAGGGTCCGTATGCCAAAAAAAGTGATAATGAAACACTTGGATGTGACCATGAGCTCTGTTTTTAAGAGTAAAAAGGGTTAGAGCTGGAGCCAAATCTATTCAGTTCGGTCTGGAGTCAGCTGCACCAGTGATCTCAACTTCAGCTTGTCATAGACATTTCCTGATATTTATTAAGAAGAGTTTTCAGGCAATTAGTTTACTTTGTAAACTAAATTTAAGATCTGAATTAATGGAATTAACCTCAGCGCTGGTACTAGTGCTGTTTCCGAATCAGTTTCTCTTACTAACAAAGAACCAGAAGCCAGAAACCTGATCCCGAAACAGCGCTCCTATTTTAAGCGTCTTTTATGAATCCCGACACAGAACTTTTCTGGAAGAACACTCTGTGACAGTAGACATCTTTTAGGATCAATCAATGCGAGCAGAAGCATGTGATGGTGTCGGATTTGATTCTGTCTCAAAGCACCACTTAATTCTCAAGCACTGATGAAGAACTCAGCATGACTCCTTATAACGAAAAGCTGTAGTGCTATCAAGGCATGAGGAGCAGGTTGGTTTGACCAGACATG